ATGGTGAAAGAATACAACCTTGTAGCACACCTTTCTTAATTTTAAACCATCCAATGTTCCCATGTTCTGTTCGAACAACTGCCTCTAGGTCCATGTACAGATTCTTCATACATGGCACATAACCACAAACCATACATAGATACAGCTAAATCTATGTTGTATAGATACATAAATTTATATTCACTCCCAACAGTTTGGCAGTCAACTTATTGAATTTGCAACTGTGTAGCTTGTGATTTCATAAGGCACTTAGTTAACTTTGTAATTTTAGAGTCCTTACTATTTGGTCCTGATTAAAATATATGGGGAAGGTAAACAACCCAACAACTTGTTGTTGTTGTTGTTAAGTGCTATCGAGTGTATCTTAGTCAACAGGAAAGTTTTATGAACTCTTTTAAAAGCTCTTGTCTTGGCAATTTGAACAATGGCATTGTAGACATTGCGTCTCTTTCGTAAATTGACCTGGTATTTGAATAGAGGAAGCAGTGCCCAACCTCAGGCTTACAATGGTTGTGCTGATTGTGTGACTGAGTCTCAGGGTCTAAGTTGAGCCCTTAGGTGGGACTGATGGCTCATAGAAGACGGTCTAGCGATGAGCTTCAGAAAGTTTGCCTTGAAAGCTTATGGAAGAGCCGTTCTCCGCACACACGCAGGTGCCAGGAACCGGGGTTAGAATCAACTCACAGGAATGAACAAAGACATAAATAAAGAAGCGGCAACTGGGATTTACTGGTTCCAGGGCAGGCAGTGTGGTCTCAGGCTCAACATCATCACTTTGTCTCCATCGCAGCGGCAGATGCCCGGGGTGGCAAAAATCGCTCCAGCATCTCGGATGAAGAGCAAGAAGGAGGAAGTACCATTCACCAGAATGTGGCCCTGGCTATTGCTGGCAATCACTTTAATCTGAAGACCAGTGGGACAATCCTTACTTCTTTGGTATGTTGATGCACACTGTTCCGGCTCCCCATCTCCTCTCCCCCAGGAGATATTTTGTTGTTGGAAGTCCATGGGTGGCACAAATAGGTAAGGACTCAACTCCTACCTTAAAGGTTAGCTATCTGAGCCCAGCCAGAAGTACCTTGGAAGAAAGGACTGGCAATCTAGTTCCAAAAGGTTACAGCCTTGAAAACCCTGTATCAGTTCTACATGGGACTTCCACGAATCAGAACTAAATGACAAGAATGGCAAAAACACACACAACATCACACAAACTAAGGAGCCCTGGGGGCATAGTGAGTGAAGTGTTAGACTGCTAACTGCAAGGTCGGAAGTTCGAACCCACCAGCCACTCCATGGGAGACAGATGAGCTCAGTGCACCTTAACATTAATGTTCCTATATCCTAACCTCCTGGGACTTACTGACCAAGGCCACCCATCCACCCTCAGCAAACGTGTTTTAACAAATGATTCCTCGCCCCAGCAGAACTCCTGACCCTTGCTCCTTCAGGATGGTGGTTGTTGTTAAGTGTCATCGAGTCAGTTCAGACTCATAGGGACCCTGTATAGGGTTTCTGAGGAGCAACTGGTGAGTTTGAATCGCTGAGCTTGCCTTGCCATTCAAAGACTTTGTGGTCCAGTGCTTATCCTACAGCACCACACCGGGACTCCCACCAGTTAAACTTTTACAAGAAGTCGAATTGTCTCTTCAGAGCAACAGAAGTGGAGATTTTAGGCCAAGCTACAATTTGACTTAAAGTGGAATTTAATTTAGATCTGGGGAGGCCAGTTTAGTCCTGCCCCAGGCCTTGCTTTGAAGGTTCGTTCATAAACCCTCAAGTGAGACTTAGCTCTGTCCTTTCATGAACTCTGATTGGCTCATCATCAAGATGAGCATGGCTCCATATCTGTGGAGAATTTGACTTGGTTTATCTGGGAAAAGGAGCTCTGGTAGCGTTGTGGTTACCAGTTGGACTGCTAACCTCAAGGTCAGCAGTTCAAAACTACCAGTCATTCCACAGGAGAAAGATGGAAAAAGATGAGACTTTCTGCTCTCATAAAGATTTTCAGCCTCAGAAACCCTATACAGAGTTGCTATGAGTCGGACCCGACTCCACGGCACACCACCACCATCCAGGGAAAGCCAGTTGTCTTGGTTTCCTAAACCATGTTACTCTTGACTTCATTCCAACTCTGAGTGAGCCTGTAGACCAGAGTGGAGCGGCCGCACAGGGTTTCCAAAGATGCCATCTTTTCAGAAGCAGACGGCCACATCTTTCTTCCTCAGAGAGAGAGGCTGTTGGGTTCGAGCTGCCGATCTCTTAGTTAACCGGCAAGCATTTACCCACAATGCCTCGAGAGCTCCTTCCTAGCTTTCAGAGGTGCTATACAAGTGGACGGCCTCGGCACTGGAGGCTAAGCACTGGACCACAAGGTCGGTTTGAACCACAGGGTCAGCAGTTCAAACCCATCAGCTGCTCCTTGGAAACCCTATACAGCATCGCTATGAATCAGAACTAACTCAATGGTACTTAACAACAACAACAACATGTAAAAATGTATTTTTTTTCCCCCAGTTCAGTGGACTAGAATTCAGGGCCCTCTCTGTCAGCTCTGGGAAAAACCTTCATCCAACACTAGCTTCTTGAAGCCTCTTCTTGGTGTTCCTTGAAGATCTTCACATGGCATCTCGCCCTCACATTCCTGCCTGCCTCAGTGGTGGTGGTGGTGCTGATGTGCCGTGGGGTCGGTTCCGACTCATAGCGACCCTGTACAGGGTTTCCCAGGCTGTAAATCTTTACGGAATTCAACAGTTCAGTGGAGATTGGCTTAAGACACGCCCCGTGCTGACAGGTGTCTGTGATTCGGAACCAACTTGATGGCACTTACAAAGGTAATTGCTTGAGGAACTATAGGCTTTTCACATTGTTGTTGTTTAAAGGAACCAAAACTCAGCCACATTTGAAGATGAGCTTTATTCTGAGCAGTTACGATAGAGGGAAACCATTTTGATTCCAGAAAAAGGAAATGGCTCGAAGTAAGCTAGGTACAAAGAGAAGACCCACCCCACAGCCATCAGGATTCTGACCCCCCAGTGACCCATTCTAGGGTTCCAGCTGTTGTTGTTTTGTGCCGTCGAGTCAGTTCCAACCCATAGTGACCCTGTATAGGGTTTCCAAGGAGCAGCTGGTAAGCTTGAACCACCAAACTTGCAGTTCAAATGGCTTTGCAGTCTGGCGTATTAACCCACAGCGCCGCACCAGCACTCTTAGGGTTCCAGAGACTGTGTTTAAAAATTCCTTGAAAAGGATTTATCTGGTACAATCAAAATTATATCCTTCTGACTAAGGTTTAATAGTTTAAACTAAGGTTTAATTTTAGATCTTTTAAGAAGCTTTAAAGGGAGCATGGTGGCTCTGTAGGATAAGCACTGGACTGTGAACCACAAGGTCAGCGGTTCGAGCCCACCAGCCACCCATTGGGAGAACGATGAGACTGTCTGCTCTCACAACGATTCCTAGGCTCAGAAACCCTGTACGGAGTTGCTATGAGTCACTACTGAGTCGACAGCACATAACAGCAACAACAACCACGAATCTTTACGGGAGCAGACAGCCTCATCTGTCACCTGCCCAGCGGTTGGTGGGTTCAAACTGCCGACCTTATGGGTAGCACTCCAGCACTTAACCTGCAGCCCCACCAGGCTCCTTCTAAAGAGAAGAGGAGGGAAAGTGAGAGAAACTCAACCATTGGCCAATCTGACTGATTGAACCCCGCCCATCCGCTCTCACTGAGACCAACGGGTCTTGGGACACAAGCTGGTCTCAGACCCTCCATTCAGCCATATCTTTTGAGTTTCAAATTTAGCAAGTCCAGCTCTAAACAAAAAAGAAAGAGTTGACCACTTTGGGTGTAAGGAAAGCCACTGTTGGATTCATTTGGGCCAGGGGTTCCTGTAAAGTGAATATTCGGTTTCCTGGGGAAGAAAACTCTTAAAATGAAGGGGAGACCTCCACTCTCCATTTTTCTCTTTGACACTATTTGCCTCTGAGGGAGAAATTGCAAACCCAGAGCTCACCTGCCGGGACATATTCCCAGCAAAGTCATAACACATTGAAAGACTTCATTCCTTCTTACAACAGCCCCTCGTTGGAGTGAGCTCATGGCCCCCTCTCTCCCTGCATCCAAAGCTAACACGGCCCTCAGGCTCTCACAGTGTCCAGCACAGACCAGCGTATGTATGTTAGCTAGGCCGCGGGACCCCAGGCTGCAGCCAGGAGGGCCGTGTGTGTGGATTTGAGGAGCAGAAAGTGAACTCATCATTGGAAAATGAGCACTCAGTACTAAAGCAGGAAAACAGAGGCAGACGCATTTTACATGCAGTTATCTCTAAGTGTTGATTGAATTAGGTTTCTCCATGTGTGTCTATTACAAAGAAGTAGAAGACTGGCTTCCAGTTCCTAGGGAAGCCATTTCTAGAAAAAGAACCCACAGGAGAGACCCAGGTCCTAAGAGACTAACGCCCTCAAGCTTCCCGTGTTTCTATTGCTCGCCCCTAAAGTCCAGTGTGCCTCCTTCCCAGCCCTACAAACAGTGTAACTTGCTGAGTGCCGACACGACCCGAAACCTCATGATTTGCTTCCTGTGGATCATGAAAAACGCAGAGCAGCACCTTATCCAGAAGTGGATTGCCGACTTGCCTTCTATGCAGCTGAACAGGATTCTAGACCTGCTTTTCATCTGTGTCTCATGCTTTGAATACAAGGTACATGGGGCACGGCGGCTCCTCTGTTGGGGCCATGAAAACATGGTTCCTATGTTTATTTCTGTGCTCAAATCCACATCTGTTGGCATGATGGATACGGTCACTCCGCCGACAGTGGAGTCTATCCAACCCCAATGATTTCCATCGCAAACACTTAATGTGCTGCTCATTCAAAGCATGTGTTTCAACAGGGTCACCATTTGGGTTAGGAGGATTGGGTTCCCAGGATGCCCCCTAAAGCACCGTCCCTGCAGCGTGTGGAGTCTTGGGCCACGGCTAAGTGGAGAGATCTGTTTGGGGACCCTTTCTGTGGACGGACCTTTTGTCCCAAATGATGTCCTCCTCCTCTTGCCTGTCCAGGGGAAGCAGAGCTCAGACAGGGTCAGCACGCAGGTCCTGCAGAAGTCCAGGGATGTCAAGGCCCGCCTGGAGGAGGCATTGCTGCGTGGGGAAGGGGCCCGAGGAGAGATGATGCGGAGATGCCGGGCTCCAGGTGTGTGTGGGCGGGGAATTGGATTCCAGGTGTGGGAGTGGGAGTCAAGGCTTCAGGTATATCTGTGAGGATGGGACTCCAGGTGTGGGAATGTCGGAGTGGGGCTCTGGGGGGCTCCAGATGTGGGAGCTGAGTACTGGACTTCAGGTGTACTTTGGGGGTGGGGGTCCAGGTGTGTGGAGGTGGGCTACTGGAGTCCAGGTGTGTGGAAGTGGGGCACTGGGCTTCAGGTGTGAGATGGGACTCCAGGTGTGTGGGTAGGACAGCAGCAGTCTGGGGAGGGGTGGGCAGGGGGACTTAGGTGTGTGTGGAGGTGGGGCTTCAGGTTTGTGGGTAGTGGCCAGGGCTTCGAGGGAGGGTGAAGGGGTCTAGGTGGGGGGGGCGAGTAGGACTACAGGTGTGTGGGGTGGGGGTTGGGACTTCAGGGATGAGGATCAGGGGGATGGTGGGGTGTTCTGTGTAGAGCTTTGAGCACTTTGTGGGAGACCCCTGTGTAAGTAGGCACCCTCCCTTTCTTGAGACAGTTCTGGGCACATCAGAGACACTGTGGGTTCTAGGATTCAGTGAGTAATGTGCAGACAGTCAGCCTAGGAATGCCCCGGATGGCATCTTCTAACTCAGGTGGTCAGTGCCCAAGAAGAGTGTGAGTTGAAGTGGAGTTGTCTCCATCAGGGCTGCGCCCCCTGGGGGCTTGGGTCAGTGTTGCTGGATGGTGAGTCCTAGGGGGCAAATAGGGGGTGTACTCAACTGCTCACCATAAGGCTAGAGGTGTGGGTCTACTCAGAGGCACCTTGGAAGAAAGACCTGGTGATCTGCTTCCCCAAACTTAACCAGTGAAGGCCCCTATGAGCACAGGTGTGCTCTGAGTTGGCGTCATGTGATGGCAACTGGAAAGCCTAGAACACGGCCAAGAAAGTGGATTGTTCTGGTTTCATGGTCACCTGCTGAGTCATTCAGGAGCACTGTGTGTGGGGGTGGTATCCCCCATATGATCTCAGCGTGTCCCTGTCCACCAGGAGTGATCTGAAAACAGCTGAACTGGGGAGAGAAGGGAATGTTCAGGTCCCTTCAGCCTCATCCGGTGAGCTCCAACTTAAACAGACCGACACTTTGTCCCATGTCATGTGTGGAACACAGTGGCAAGGAGCGTGGAGGGAGCTTGGCATCGTCAGGGCTGGAGAGGCACCCTCTTGCAACCTAGTACCTCATACTTTCCAGTACCTCAGGAAGGAGCCCAGCACCTCAGGGGAAATGGGCCCCCAGTATTCCGGGGAGGCAGAGCTCATCCATCAAAAAGCACACCCTCTCAGCATGGGCCTCTAGTCCGGGGAAGGGCGAGTCAGGGAACTTCTGGGGGTTATCTGGGAGAACTGCGCACTAATCGAATTCCTCTCGTGCTTTGCCTAACTCCCAGGGAATGACCGATTCCCTGGCCTCAGTGAGAACTTGAGATGGAAGAAAGGACAGACTCACTGGCGACAAGCTAACGAGAAGCTAGACAAGTAAGAGTCTCCTCAACTTCGCGCTACGTTTACCTCGAGCCCCTCTCCCAGGCTACTTACGTTACTGAAACAACAACATCCTTCCAGGGAGAGGAAAATAAAACACCGCTATCTGTGTCCACGTAGTTCATCTCAGGGGGCCCCAGATCATCTAAGGGATAAGGCATTCTGATTCCCAGCTCCTCCATGAACCATGGTGATAAACTTGCCCAGAAAAGGAATCTTCACTTATGTCCCAGGGCTCCTCTGACCTACCAGTAAATTCATTTAAAAAATAACCTTCCAGATTTCACTGGCTTCACTACAAACACTAGCTTTGAAGAATGTCGAGGAGCCAGCAGAACAATTCAGGTCCAAAGGGCTGGTCCTAAGTGTTGGTCCTGAGCCAGCAGCACCCCATCGGGTGGAGGGGACTTGAGAACCACTGAGCAACAGTCCTGGCTCCCAACTTTTGAGCTGATGATACAGGGGGTCCCAGATCTTGTGGCCACACCGCGGCCACTGGTGGGTCTCAGGCAGGTCAGCTCTTCACACCTGCTCTCCCTGTCCGGGATGCACAATGTTCCTTCTCAGTCTCTGGTGGGCTTTATGGAATCCTGGTGTGGCACTAGAGGGTAAACACTCAACCACAAGGTCGGTTTGAACCACAGGGTCAGTACTTCAAATTCACCAGCCAGATTCCCTCCTTGGAAACCCTATACAGGGTCGCTGTGGATCGGAACCAACTCGATGATACTTAGCAATAACAGTGGATTTTATGAAGATGGCACATCGAACAGTGATTCAGTCCAATGAAACCTAACTGAGAAACAGCGTCAGGCAATTTTCCATTCCAGAGTGGGCAATGAAGGGGCCCCGACTGTGCAGTGGCTAAGCGCTCAGCTGCTTACCCAGAAGTCGATGGTTTGAAACCACCCTTGACTCCATGGGAGAGCGATGTGGCAATCTGCTTCTGTAAAGAGATGGCCTTGGAAGCCCGGTGGGCCCCACTCCTCTGTTCTGCAGGGTCACTCTGAGTTCAAATGGACTCTACTACTGCAAGGTTTGATTTTGGGGGGCTTAGTGAACACTGGGAGTCCTTGGCTACTAACCAAAAGGTTGGAGGTTCAAACTCACCAAATGGTACCTCAGAAGAAAGATCTGGCAATCTGCATCTGTAAAGATTACAGCCAAGACCTACAGAGCCCAGTTCTGTTTAGTAACACAGGAAGATACCACGAGTTGGAACAGACTGGGTGGCAAGGGTTAGTTTCCTGGGTGGGCCCCTGGACAATGTGAATGTTAAGGTGTTTGCTTAGCTGCTAACCAAAAGCTTGGAGGTTTGAGTGAACCCAGTGGGAAAAAGAACTAGTGACCTACTTTGGTAAAGATTATAGTCAGAAAAATCTGATGGAGCGCAGTGCTACTCCACACTCACGGTGACCATGTCCAGTGATGTCCAGCACGATGATCCCCACTGGGAAGGGAAACAGACAATGCAGAAACAAACAAACAAACAGCCAAATTCACTGCCATGGAGTAGATGCTGACTCACAGCGACCCTGGATAGCGCCTCCAAGATCCCAGGCTGTCGATCTTGACAGGAACAGAAAGTCTCATTGAAGCAACTGGTGGGTTTGAACCGCCGAACTCGTGGTTAGCAGTCCAGTGCTTATCCTACAGTGCCACCAGGGCACCTTAGCCAATACACAGAAATAATAAGAGGCGGTGCTAGACTCTGTAGTCCCAGGGGGTCCTTAGGCAGTCACACACCTGCCCCAGTTCCTTCATCAGCATTGATGTCTGCCAAATTCGCTGGCACCCAGCCTCACTCTCTCCGCCTGCCCGAGATTGCACACTCGCTCGATTGTTCTCACGCCCTTGAAGCACTTAGTGGTCCTAGTCAGCAGTCTGATTGTCCCCCCGATTGCTAACAGTAATCACGCATTGCTTCTCTGCCCATTCTTGTGCGTGTGGTTGTCTTCAGTATTAGTCATAGTGTGGATGGGGGGTACCCAGAGAGTTTACCAAACCTTGTTTCCAATAGAAAAGCCACTTGCATGAAACACCCAGCATCCCGTGGACACTAGTGGCTGGTGCTTTGTTCTGATTCAAGGTTGGCCGGCTCTTCTGGAGATTTCTTTACGCTTGAGTGCACAGATTGCCCTCGTCGGAATATGTCCAAGTTTGGTATGTGCTAGACTTTGACCTGTTTTTGCTTCTTAGAACAAAGGCAGAGCTGGACCAGGAGGCCTTGGTCAGCGGTAACTTGGCTACAGAAGCGAATCTAATTATCCTGGACATACAAGAGAACATTATCCAGGTGAGGGCAGGGTGCACCTGGTGCGCGCAACAAGACCACGTCTATGGGAATTGGATAAGGAACCCTTCTTGCAGAACTCTGAAAGAAAAAAACTTGATTCCTCCCCACCCCCAATTTTTTTTTTTTAACAAAGTTGGGAACTTTGCTGTTTATGATCTTACCTGTCTTATAAATTCCAGAGATGCCAAACATTTTTCTGGTTTCTTTGAGTTGCTTTTCCTGAGGAGAGGTTTCATGGGCCCTGGTGGATAAATGTACCAAATTTATTTATGTGGGTGGTGGGCTTACGGTTCAGGGTCTCAAATAAGGAAGGCAAATAGTTTCTTCCTATGAGTCAACTCCAGTTGAACGATGCAGCCATCAATCCTGCCTGGTTTGGGAGCTAAGGTTATGACTGGGCTGGGATAAGAGAGAGAGTGCTAAGTTTGATTAATGATGTCTGCTTCAGGCACACAGCAGGAAGGGAGGCACGAGTGCCATGTATTTGCCTGAGAAAAGCAGCCTCTCCAGGGGCTGTTCAGTGACACCTCCACCTTCTAAGAGGACGTTGTCCGAAACTCCCAAGTCTAGGCAAGACTCGGTTTTTAGTTCTACTGAAAAACAAGCCCTTTGGAACTTAATAATCATGTCCGATGTGAAAATGTTTCCACTGAGAAATCATTTTTTGAAATATATCTCTTAATGATTTTTAGGACTAGAAAAAATACTGTTGCAACACTACGCAACCTTCCTTATCCAACTTGAAAGCTGACAAAAATCAAAGCAAATGTTACCTAAAAGAGAAAGACCAAAAATGGGAAATCTTTGAGACCTTTGCTCATTTACATGCTTGTCAGCACATTGGTTGGTAGTTAGTTGTTACACACTGTGGAGTCGGTTCTGACTCATAGCGACCCTGTACAAGGTTTCCGAGGCTGTAAATCTTTACGGGAGCAGAAAGCCTCATCTTTCTCCCGTGGAGCAGCTGGTAGTTTCGAACTGCTGACTGTGAGATTAGCAACCCGATTCAAAACCACTATGCTACCAGAGCTCCTTTGCCAGCACGTAGACTATGTCTTTATGTGACACCCTTTTGAGAGCTATCGACCCAACACAAGTCTTTAAAATACATTCACAATTTTTGAAGAGAGCTGACCCTTACCATTGTCCATGATGGTTTTCAGTCTTATTCTAGATAAGAGGACTCTGAATAGTACTAAGGGTAAGGGCTTGACTGATAATCATAAGGTTGGTGGTTCAAATCCACCCAGCAGTGCTGAAGAGGAAGAAAGGCCTGGAGATGTGCTTCCTTAAAGATTACAGCCAAGAAAATTCTGGAGTCCAGTTCTAGTCTGTAACGCATGGAATCACTGTCAGTCAGAATCAGTTGGATAGCAATGGTTTTCTGTGTGTTTCAGTAGCTAATAATAAGCTTGATTTAGAAATACTATTGTCACCAAGCTGTCCCTATTATACCAGGAAGCCCACAATTGTGTATTTGAAGAGGAAAGTTCTGTCTTGTCTTGGGGAAAAGAACATTCTAAAGGATGTAGCCCTAGATGGGTGCCTGGTAGTATGTAACTAAGTTTACAAGCCCAGATTTAGGTATGCATCCCAGATCAGTTGGGAGTTTGGGAACAACGCCGTATGGAACTACAAGTGTGCTTCAAAATGTTTGTGGAAAAATGTAATGAAAAGGCAGTGGAATTTTCCCGTGAGCGCTTTGAAGGCCCTTGTATGCCTTTGGCTCTCACCGTTGATGGGTGCTGAGATGGGACTGAGCGATGGGGCTCAGCAGAGGTGTCTCGGCTGCAGGGCAGGGTTCAGAGATGCCCTTCTTCCACCCTTCAGGCCAGCTCAGCACTGGATTGGAAAGACAGCCTGCTGGGAGGTGTTCTCAGGGTCCTGGTGAATTCGCTGAGCTGCGATCAGAGCACCACCTACCTGACCCACTGCTTCGCCACGCTCCGTGCTCTCATTGCCAAGGTAAATACAGGACTTTGTTTTCTGGCTCTTCATTGCCAGTAGGATTCGTCTAGAGAAGGGGTGGAGAACATCTGGCCTGCAGGCCTTAAAATCATTTGGTCTGGCCCTGCGGAGACAACCGCAAGTCCAGCCATCACATTGTTGTTAAGTGCCTTCGAATCAGTTCGACCCATAGCAACCCTGTGTAGGGTTTCCAAGGAACAGCTGGTGAGCTTGAAGCACTTGGCCTTGCAGTTCAAGCCAACTTTACAGTCCAGCACATTAACCCACAGCGCCACACCATCACCTTAGGGGTGAGTTCATTAAATGTTTGACCAAATATTTGTTGTTGTTGTTAAGTTCCGTTGTGTCAATTCCACAGCGACCCTGTATAGGGTTTCCGAGTAGCAGCTGGTGAGCTTGAACTGCCAACCATGCAGTTCAAATGGCTTTGCAGTCTGGTGCATTAACCCACAATGCCACACTAGGACTTTTGGCCAAATATGTTGTTGTTGTTATGTGCTGTGGAGACAGTTCCAACTCATAGCGACCCTGTTCAGGGTTTCCGAGGTCATAAATCTTTACAGGAGCAGAAAGCCTCATCTTTCTCCCATGGAACAACTGGTAGTTTCGAACAGCTGACCTTGACGTTGTTGTTGTTGTTAAGTGCCATCGAGTCGGATCCGACCCATAGTGACTCTGAACAGGGTTCCCGAGGCTGTAAATCTTTACGGGAGTAGAAAGCCTCATCTTTCTCCCGTGAATTAGCAGCCCAAATATAGCAGGCTAATTTTTTTTTTAATGTTTTATTGTGAGTTATGTGATAATTTACATGGGAGAACATTAGTTTTACATTCAATCTTTCGTATATCATTTCATTGCCATGGTTACAATGCCCTCCATGCATCATCAAGCAGACTAATTTTTAAATTGATAATTATGTATGGCCCGTGAACAATGCTATAAATTTTGACATAAAAAAGGATCCCCGCTGCTGCCGTGGAGGGTCGCCATGAGCTGGCATCGGTGGGCTTTGGGTTCTGTTGTTAGGGGAAGGAATCCTGGGGCATAACTGGATCAGCACTAGGATGCTAACCAATGACACTGGGTGGTTTGAACGGACCAGCCGCTCTGCACGAGGAAGACATGCAGTCAGCTTCCAGAGAGATGGACCATCTTGGGACTATGGGCAGTTCCACTCTGCAGGGTCACTGTGAGTCAGAATCAACCCCCCCAGCCCACAACAAGCACGAGGAAAGCCAGGCACGTGACCCTTGTTAGTAAGTCTTTGGAAATATCCTGTCAGAAAATGGCAGGAAGTTTAGAGAGAAACTTCCCATGACCGAAAGAACATAGACTCTTCTCAGGTGAAATGGGCCCCGGGGGGATTACCCTCCCTCTTTCCTCAGTCTCACTGGGTGCCTTGTACACGGGACCACAGGACCTTTTACATTCATCTCCACCATTAAGGTAACTCTCTAATCACCAGTAATTTTCAGGAGACCCCAAAAACTAAGGACTGACCCTTAGGAGCTGTGGCCCCACCAGCAAAGGCAGCCTGACTGGCAGTACTGCTGATGTTCGGCCACTAAACAAAACACTGACAACTTTGGAGGTTCGAGTCCACCGAGAGGTACCTCAGCAGAAAGCCCTGACTAGCAATGTTGTTAACAATGCAGCCCTTAATGTCGTGCTCGGCTGCAATGAGTGGAGCTTCGAGTCCACCTAGAGATGCCTGGCCATTCACTTCCCAAAAACTCAGCTACTTAAAACCCTATGGAGGAGTTCAAGTCCCTGTGAGCACAAGCGTTGCTGACCGTCCAAACCATAGGCTCTGAGGATCAGACTTTAGCCACCTAGCAGACATAGCAAAATGTCCCTTATCTGATTATTCAGTTATGCTGGTTAGTAATTCCATACATGAGCCCTGGATACCCACAGATAAATGTAAAAACCTTCCCTAAAAGCCGAGACTGTAAATTCCAAAAAGGCAAAGTTTTTACCCCCAAAAAAGCTAAAGAGGATATAGAGAAACTCTGTTAACTGATGGTATGAGGAGGGGATTATAATCAATGTAATGAAACAAGGTATATGAATATTTGAATGTGAAACCGATGATGTGCCCTGAAAACTTTCACTCAATCCACAATAAAAACCTTAAAAAAAAACAAAAAAACAAAAAAAACCCTATGGAGCACAGTTGTACTCTGACACACATGGGTCTCCAAGAGTTGGAGTCACCCCATTGCTCGCACCTTTGCTGTGCGTGATTAAATCGTGGGCCGGCTCCATGGCTTCTGACACGTATGGAATAATGTGTTAAGCGTCCTGGGCTCTCTGCTTGCCCACGCAGACATCAGTGTGTTTCACCAGGCTCCTGGCACCACCCACATGCAGGTGGAGGTGCCAAGCGGTGGCTCAGCGACCCTATGTCTCTCCTAGTTCGGGGACTTGCTGTTTGAGGAGGAGGTGGAACAGTGCGCGGACCTGTGTCAGCGAATGCTGCAACATTGCGGCAGCAGCATGGATGTCACCCGGAGCCAAGCCTGTGCCACCCTCTACATGCTCATGAGGTTCAGCTTTGGAGCCATCAGTGTGAGAACCCAGCCCGTGGGGAGAGGGGGCACAGAGATAGTAGTGCAAGACCTCTACCGTGAGGGGAGATTTAGTGCTTACAGAAACGGTTGAGCGTCCAGGTGGAGAGCATTCTTGGTTTGAATTGGCCGGTGGTTTTCGTCAGTCTGTTTCACTAGGAAATGGGTATGTGCATCTATGGAGGGAAATAGAGCAGATGGGCTAAGAATCTCAGACATTCTTAGCAGAGTAGCCAGTGGGAGAGAATTTTCAATGATTGGTAGCTGCTAGGTCTACATTTCCACCCCAGCTTAGCAGACTTCGGTGTTCAGCATGTTTGCTTATACTCATCCTTCATTCTCCACTGTCTAAATGTGGGTCTGTCCTTCAGGAGTTTCTGTGCATGTTATGCTCAGGAACAGGCTTACATGATAGGAAAAGGCCAGTTTACTCCTGAAAGAAAGGCAGGGTCCTCGGACTACATCAGGAGTGACCACTTGAAAGTCCTTAGGACAATTGCCTTAGGGGAGAACCGCATATTTCCAGGGCCCCAGAACTAAAGAAGGATGGCAGCGGCTGCCGGTCTAACTCTAACATTTCAGAAACCCTTTCCTTGGACATGCCATTTCTCACAGAGTTTAAATAAAACTCCAAGAGGAATCTTGGCAGGAAAGGATAAATCCTGTGGCCAGACCCTGTCGGAATACTCCAGCCTTCTGGCGTGGAGACAGCCCAAGGGTAAAGGAAAGCGTAGAGGGCTGTACTGGCCGGGTTTCTGCCGGAGCACAAGCCACAGACAGGAAGCTGAGCCCAGTGCAGCGTGCAGCTCACAGCCAGTGCGAGGATAGGAAACGAGGGGGCCAGTCGGGGGGCCTGGGTGTTGGGCTCTTCAGTCTCCTCTTATCGAGCAGCTCGGTGCCCTTTCTTTCCTGGTGCAGAACTTTGCAAGAGTGAAGATGCAAGTGACCATGTCGCTGGCCTCGTTGGTGGGCAAAGCACAAGACTTTAACGAGGAGCATCTGAGAAGATCACTGAGGACGATTTTGGCCTACGCAGAGGAGGATGCAGCTATGCAGGCCACGCTGTTCCCCGTCCAGGTGGGCTGAGGGGGCGTTCCTGGTCTCCGGGGTTTGGCATCAGCCAGGTATAAACCCTCAGGTATATATGTATGATCACCATGAGTTGGATTGACCCCAAACATCAATGGGTTAAGCGCGCGCACACACACACACACACACACACACACACACACACATGTGTTACTGTTTGGTGCCATTAAGTCTGTTCAGTCTCATGTACGACATGAGGAGACACTGCCCAGTCCTTCTACCCCATCCTCACAGTCACTGTTAATATTTGAGTGCATTGTTGCGGTCTGTGTGTCAGTCCATCTCACTGCGGAGTCTTGCTCTTTTGTAGCATGACATCCTCCAGGGACTGGCCCCTCCCACAAAGCTCATGAGGTCCCTTCTATCTTCCTTCTAAGGAGCATTCTGTGTATACTTCTTCCAAAACAATATATATATATTGTTGTTGGTAAGTGCCGTTGAGTCGATTGTGACCCTGTAGAGGGTTTCCAAGGAGTAGCTGGTGAACTTGAACCACCAATCTTGTGGTCCAAACCGACTTTATAGTCTAGTGCATTAACCCACAGCGCCACACCAGGACTCCATATATATGTATGTATATATATGTGTGTGTGTGTGTATATATATATATATATATATATATAAGGAGCTCTGGTAGCGTAGTGGTTACGAATCGGGCTGCGA